AAGGGAGAACAAGAGGAAGAACAAGAAGAGGAGGAGGAGGAAGAGGAAGAAGAAGGAGGAAGAAGAAGAAGAAGAAGAAGAAAGGAAGAACAAGGAGAGGAGGAGGAGGAGGAAGAAAAAGAAGAAGAAGAAGAAGAAGAAGAAGAAGAAAAAGAAGAAGAAGAAAAAGAAGATGAAGAAGAAGAGAGGAAGAATAAGAGGAAGAAGAGGGGGAAGAAGAAGAAGAAGAAGAAGAAAAAGAAGAAGAAGAAGAAGATATCCCTTCTCTCGCAGATACGGCAGAAATTTATATAAACAAGGATCAATTCATTCATAACGGATCTGGAGGTTTTTGTGTACTATTTGAATTGTTTGCGAGATGGATGTCTCGCCATTTAAATCATTAACCTTTGCATTAGTTTGTGTGAATAATTCATGTATTTGTAAATTGATTGCACGTTTATTGTAATTTAAATAACTGATCCATGTGCGACTTTTTTGGTTAATAAGTGCGACATTACTGTAATTATTGAACAATATAGTTCATGCCACTTTGACAGAAAAATTTACCAGTAAAATAATTTGTTCATTACCATATTTGGTATAAACGCAAACACTTTTAAAAAAAAAATTTAAAATCAAACTCAGCGTTGCTTTGGCGCGTTCAAAAACCAATAACTCATTTTCAATAGCATTTTCGGATACAACAACACATATATTTTCGTTGTCCTCTTATTACTAAGAGAAAAAAACAAGAACAGCATCTATTATATACCTGAAGATGTCTGTAGGAACAGACGAAAGCTTGTGTAAAAATAACAACTAATACGGCAGAAATTTATATAAACAAGGATCAATTCATTCATAACGGATCTGGAGGTTTTTGTGTACTATTTGAATTGTTTGCGATGATGGATGTCTCGCAGATTTAAATCATTAACCTTTGCATTTGTTTTTGTGTGAATAATTCATGTATTTATATATATATATATATTTATATATATATATATATATATATATATATATATATATATATATATATATATATATATAGATAAAAATGTCTCATCTGATGTTTAGTTTTGAAATAGATTTACAATATTATTCAAATTACTTAATTTCAAACAAATGGAAATATTAACAATATATATAAAGAACGTGTCTTTAAATTTATAAATTAATTAATTTTTTTACATTAAAACGGACTAAAAAATTTCAAATAGAAATTGATAGATATTCAAAAATGTTTTTTAAGTTAAATTTAAATGCCATTTTAAAGTTGCCTTAAATGGGATTGAAAATTCAATTTAATTTGGATAAATAATATAATAATTATTTTCAAAATAATTACAATTTAATTATATAGACAATATATATATATATAGATATATTTACTTTTAATGTTTTAAGAAAATTAGAAAAATGCAAAAAAAAGATATTTAATAACAGACATCCATATAAATATGAATATTAATTCGTCGAATATAAAAAAAGTGATAAATGATATATATGAAAAATTGTTTTTTGTGATTTTTTTCAAATTTCTGAAAAGAATATGCCATAAAAAACAATTTGGAAATAAATAAATAAAAGAAAGATGAAACAATGTCTAGAATAAAAATAAATAGTGTACAAAAAATTCATAAGAAATAAAAGATAATGTAGATTAATTTAGAATTATATCCTAAGCCTAGTATATATTTATATAAATATCTTTTACTTTATATCATTCTCTATAATATATATTTATCAAATGATGCAATATTTATAAATAAATAGAAAATATATATATTATTTTTGGAATATCTTAATTTATTTTAAAAAAATTACAATAAAAACTTTTGACCCTCTATTTTTTTGATAAATTTATTTTGGACTTGTTAAAAATTGAACATTAAAAAAAAAAAATCCAAATCTTTATTTATTCTCTTGAAAAGGAAATTTTCCTTATCTTTTAATTTAGATTTTTCATTATTGCTCATTTAGATAAATATTTGCTCTCACTGTAAAATTTTTATTTTACATCCTTCAACGTAAATCTTCTTGAACAATTTTTTCATCCGCCTCCAAATATAAATAATGTCTGCATTTTTTCCTTTTACCAATGGAACGGAATTCTTTAAATATTTTTTTCAACTCAAACAAAAAATACCAATTAAATTAGACATTCTATTTTGCCAAAAATAAAATTTTTAATATTTAAATTCCTAAAAACATTCCTTAATTAATATTTATTTATATTATTAAAAAAAAATTAATAATAAAACAAAATAAATAAATACCTAATATATGTTAATATTTTGAATAGAGTATTTTTAAAACTAAAATATAAAAAAATATCCTTTTTATAAATTTAATTATTACCTTCAATTCTCTTACAGAATATATTTTATTCTTACAATTTCTTGTAGACTGATATAATTGAGTTTCTGTTATTTTGCTTTTTTTTTTTTTTAAATACAATATTTATTTCCTGATTTAAATCTTCCAATTCATTTTCTTACTATTTTCCTCTAATTTATCATATTTTTCAATCTCTAGACACGATAAATCCTTAAACTCTCCGGAGAGTTTCTTTCAAAAATCTACAACTTTATATTTTTATTGTCCATGTTTTTTTTTTTTGGATCTTCTGTTTCAATACAAGAATTATTTAATATATATATACATCATATCCATAAAATCCCTTCCATAAATTTTTCATTCTCCTGAAATTTAAACTTCATTAAATATATTGATAATTTTGAATAATTTTAAAAAAGATGTTTGATTAATTTTATTAAAATTTATTTTCCATAAATCCTAAGAATTTGCTGAAAAATAACTTCTCTCATGTTTTCAAATATACCATTTTATTATATATGAATATTTTTTAAATTCCTCATTTATTTAAAATATAAATGAAAATTTAAAAAAAAAAAATTACATCCATTTAAAATTCTATCAGGGTTCATCCATTTAAAATTTTCAAAATAATTTTTTTATCAAAAATCTCATTCTTTTGTTTTCCTTTCAAAAATGAATTAAAAAATTCCCTTTATATGAATATTTTTAATTTAAATCTTTTTATTTTCATTTCTAATATTCTGTTTCAAAAAATATATTTTTTTGCCATCCTAAAATTCCAAAACAATTATATTTCCATTTTTTTTGAAAATGAATTTCCATTAAAACTATTTTTATGAAAAATTTTTAAATAAAAATTAAAAATTTTTTACGTTAAAAAAATATTCCCTTCCAAAAATTTCTATTTAAATGAAACCATTATTCTATATAAATAAATATATTTCCATAAAAATTTTATTTTATATATATAATATATTTAATTTATATTTATTCTTAAAATTAAATTATATACCTGAAAAAAATAATTTTTCCTTATTTTTTTTTGCCATTTTTATAAAATTTTTGAGCCCAAAAAAAATCCCCTTTTTTTTTTCTCCTTTAAAAACTTAAAATTTATTCATTTTTTAATATCCATTCATTTTTATTTATATATAAATCTTTTATTACACCTTTTTTCCATCCTTTCTATTCTTTTATTTAATGGAATTATTTTAGTCATTTCTCTTTTTTATATATTAAATTTTTTATATTTTGATTTTTTTTTTCTTTTAATTTCTTATAAACAGTTTTTTTTTTTTGACATATTTTCTTTTTATTTTTTTTTCCCTCTAGGATTTTCTTCATTTTTTTTAACAAAAAAATACTTAAATTTTTTTTTAAAGAATTTGTTTCTCTAAATAATCAATTTTGAATATAATTTCTTTCCCCAAAATTTTGTTTTAAAATCATTTTATTTTTATTTAAAATTTTTATTTAAAAAAATTTTTGCCTTTCATAAAATATTTTTTCTTTTTTTTCATATGAAAAACGATTTTCTTCTCTTTGATCTTTTTTTGCTTTTTTCTTTATTCTTTTTTAAATCATCTTTTTTTCTTTTCAGAATAAATTCTTTCTTTGAACTTTCATTTCTACTTTAATTTTTTTCAAAATGAAAAAAATTTTCCTTTAAAGAAAATTTCTTTTTTCATTTCTTTTCTTTCTTTCTTTATTTCTTTTTTTTTTTTTTGTTTTCGAGAAAAATTTTTTTCTTTAAATTTTTTCTTTTTTTTTTTTTTTTTTGAAGCCTTTTTGGCTATTTGATATTATTTGATTTTTAAAAAAATTTTTTTTTTTAATGGAATCTTTTTTCTTTAGAAATCATTCTTTTCTTTCTTTTTTCAAAAAAGGCGTTTTTTTAATTCTTGTTTGGTAGATTTATCATCTTTGTTTTTAAAATTTTCAAATCTTTTTTTTTTATTCTTTTTTCTAATTCAATTGATTTCTTTTTCTTTTTCTCTTTTTATTTCCTCAATTCTTTCCGTACATTTAGATTTATATATATGACTTTTTTTTTTTTTTTTTTTTTATTTTTTCTTTTTTTATTTTTAAAACTCACTTTCGAATTTAATTTTACAGAAAAACTTTTTCTTTTCGAGTTTTTTTTGATTTGACATATTTTTTTTTATTTCATTTTAAAAATATTTTAAATTTTTCCTTTTTTTTAAAAAACACCAATTTTCTTTTCTTTTTTCTTTAAAGTTTTTTTTATTTCATTAACATCAAAACGGACTTTATTTTTTCGGACTTCAATTCAAAAATTTTTAAAAAATTAAATTCTTTTGAACATATTTATATCTGAACCTTATATATTTATATTTTATATAAAATAATTCTTATATTTATTTTTCTCTTTTCTTGTTTGTTTGAATTTCTAAGCGAAGGTCAAAGTAAAAGCCTGCATAAATTAATCTTTCTTGTTACCCAGACTGAGTGAAAATATTATCTTGGTTTATAAATGTTATAAATTATAATGATTGAATGCTATTCCAAATTTTTTTTTTCATATATTTGGGATTTTTTATTTTTATATATATTGCTATCAGTTTAATATTTTTTATTTTAAAATTTGTTTAAAAAAAAATTCGAACTGGTGGCGTTTTTTGATTTTAAATCTTTATAGAGAATTGGGAATTGAAATGAAATTTTTCGTTGATCGCTCGACTTCAATTATATTACAAAACTTTCTTTCTTTCTTTTATTTTCTTCAATTCTTTTTTTTCTTTAGAAATTCTTTTTTTCTTTTTTTTTCTTTCTTTTTTTTCTTTCTTTTTTTCTTTTTTTTACTTTCTTTTTTTTCTTTTTTGGTGGGAGGACATTTTCTTTTTTTTATTTTCATTTTTTTCCTTTTCCTTACGTTTCTTTTTTCTTTCTTTCTTTTTTTTTCTTTATATTTTGTTCTTTTTCTTTCTTTTTAATTTACTGCATTTTTCTTTTATATCGTATTTTCTATCTTAATTTAATTTCTTTTTTCTTTTTTTCAAAAAATCTATTCTTTAAAAAACTTTCTTTTCTTTCTTTTTTTTGTTTCATATTTCTTTCATTTTTTATTTTTTTTTTTCTCAATTTTTTCTTTTTTCCTAAGATCAATTTTTTTTTTTTATTTCTTCATTTTGTTCTAGTTTATCTTTCTTTCTTTCTTTCTTTCTTTCTTTCTTTCTTTCTTTCTTTCTTTTTTTTTTTTTTTTTTTTTTTTTATTTTTCTCACGAATACGTTTGTTTTCTTTTCTCAAAACTTTTGTTCTTTTTTTATTTTCCTCATTTCATTTTTTTTTTTTCTTTCTCTTTCTTTCTTTCATTTCTTTTTTTTTTTTTGCGAGGCATTATTCTTCTCACATATACGTTTGTTTGTTTGTTTGTTTCTTTCTTTTTTCTTTCTTTCTTGCTTTATTCTCCTCATGAAGACCTTCTTTTTCTTTCTTTTTTCTTTTTTCTTCTTTCTTTCTTTCTTTCTTTCTTTCTTTCTTTCTTTTTTCTTTCTTTCTTTTGCGAGGCGTTATTCTTCTCACGAATATGTTTGTTTCTTTGTTTGTTTGTTTCTTTCTTTCCGAAGCCTTATTCTCCTCATGAAGACCTTCTTTCTTTCTTTCTTTCTTTCTTTCTTTCTTTCTTTCTTTCTTTCTTTCTTTCTTTTGCGAGGCGTTATTCTTCTCACGAATATGTTTGTTTCTTTGTTTGTTTAAATTTGTTTCTTTCTTTCCAAAGCCTTATTCTCCTCATGAAGACCTTCTCTTCTTTCTTTATTTCTTTCTTTCTTTCTTTCTTTCTTTCTTTCTTTTGCGAGGCGTTATTCTTCTCACGGATACGTTTGTTTGTTTGTTTGTTTCTTTCTTTCTTTTTCTTCTTTCTTTCCGAAGCCTTATTCTTCTCACGAAAACCTTTATTTCTTTCTTTCTTTTTTCTTTCTTTCGTTCTTTTACGAAACCTTTCTCTTCTTACAAACACTGTTTCCTTTCCTTTCTTTGTTATTTTCTTTCTTTGTTGATTTTTCACTTTCTTTCTTTCTTTTCCTTTTTTCCTTCCTTATTCATTCTATTTCTCAACACATTTTTACACTTTCCATTTTCTTTTCTTTTTCCTTTCTGTATTTACTGTTTTTTTTTTTTTTTTTTTTTTAGCTAGGCACATTTTTTAATATCCTATATCAATATTGAAACTTCCAGACATGAAAGTATATTTAAAAAACAAAGAGCGAAATAAATATGAATTTTCATGAGGTAAAAAATAAATGTCTCATAAAAATCATTGGACAATTTCATTTCTGAACTTGAAGAAAACACATGACGCATGACAACGGCTGTTTCGCTATTTAACCAAACCTGTCTTAAATAGATTTCATGAAACATCGTTAATAATTCTGGTTCTTTGTCCAGTCTACAAATTAATGTGCCACTTTTGTTCATAAATTTTCTTTATATAATTTCTTTTTTTTTACGGAGTCTTATTCTTCTCACAAACTATTTGGTTCTTTCTTGCTTTCTTTCTTTCTTTCTTTTCCAAAGCAGTATTCTTCTCACGAACTATTTGGTTCTTTCTTGCTTTCTTTCTTTCTTTCTTTTCCAAAGCAGTATTCTTCTCACGAACGAATTCATTCTTTACCAAAAAGCCTTAGGCTTCTCCCGATTCTTACATTATTTTCCGAAGACTTATTCTTCCCACGAACAACTTACTTACTTACTTTCTTTCTTTCTTTCTTTCTTTCTTTCTTTCTTTCTTTCTTTCTTTCTTTCTTTTTCGAAGCCTTATTCTTCTCATAAGCACATTTATTTATTTATTTCTCTCTTTCTTTCGTTCTTTCTTTCGTTCTTTTCTGAAGCATTATTCTTTTGACGAACCTCTTTCCTTCCTTCCTTCCTTCTTTCCTTCTTTCTTTCTTTCTTTCTTTCCCTCTTTCTTTCGTCCTTTTTTCTTTCTTTCTTTTCTGAAGCATTATTCTTTTGACGAACATCTTTCCTTCCTTCCTTCCTTCCTTTCTTCTTTCCTTCTTTCTTTCTTTCTTTCTTTCTTTCTTTCCTTCTTTCTTTCGTCCTTTTTTCTTTCTTTCTTTTCTGAAGCATTATTCTTTTGACGAACATCTTTCCTTCCTTCCTTCCTTCCTTCCTTCTTTCTTTCTTTCTTTCTTTTTTTCTGAAGCCTTATTCTTCTCATGAGCACTTTTCTTTCTTTTTTCCCGTAGCATTATTTTTCTCACGACCATCTATCTATCTTTCTTTCTTTCTTTCTTTCTTTCTTTATTTCTTTCTTTCTTTCTTTCTTTCTTTCTTTTTTTTCTGAAGCATTATTCTTTTGACGAACCTCTTTCCTTCCTTCCTTCTTTCCTTCTTTCTTTCTTTCTTTTCTGAAGCCTTATTCTTCTCATGAGCACCTTTCTTTCTTTTTTTCCGTAGCATTATTCTTCTCAAGACCATCTTTCTTTCTTTCTTTCTTTCTTTCTTTCTTTCTTTCTTTCTTTCTTTCTTTCTTTCTTTCTTTTCTGAAGCAATATTCCTTTAACAAAACCCTTTCTTTCTTTCGTTCTTTTTGGAAAAAGTATCTTGCTATTTTAAGTCAAATAATTTGTTTTCATCTAAATATTCCTTAATGTGTGTGTTTTGTGCCTGTTTATGGTCCTAAAATTATAACTGTGTAATATCCACATTATATGTTTCCATGTGACTAATTAAGCTATACTTTCTAAATATATCGAAACATATAATTCTGCTTGTCTTTGTGAGTTGTGAATTGATTAGCACGCTAATCAGGCAGATTTTTAAATCATTTCACACCCAGCAAGTTAATAAAGCCACTAAGACGAAAGGGTTCAGTGAGTGTGAAAGAATATCAATAAATGGGAACATTATTAAGGAACAAGAACAATAAAAAAAATTACAGGCAATATATTTTTGAAGGAAAAAATATTACCAGCAATACATTTTTGAACAAAAATTACCAGCAATAAAAATCTTGTCAGCTTTAAATAACCCACTGAGGTGTTGATATGTCGTAAAACAAACCAAACAAAATGATACCGAAACTAAACGGGTGTAACAATTTAGATATCTAGGGATCTATAGTCGATTAATCTTCCTGTTCGCGAAAATAACGGTTGAAATTGCATTTGAATTTCGAAACATCAAATTTGACTGCAAATTAATAAGCTGCACGAAGGTTCCACAAAGAAGAAGTGCGAGAGAAGAATCTGTTAGCATAGAACTTACGGTTAGATCGAGACATTTCTACTATAAAATAATGTGACCTAATTGCCAATCTAGTATTGCGTTTAAATTGACAAAAATTCTAGTTACCGTAGAGGGAAGCTCATCAGAACAATTAGAGTTAATATATTCATAGAAAAGGGGGAGAAATCTACGTTACGGCGATGGGAGAATTGCAGAAGCCGAGATGACAGGTCAAGACCAATAACATTGCAGATTCTTATACGGATTTATCAAGGATCTATTATTATATAGCAGAATCACCAGACCAGATACGACAGGAATATTCAAATCCTCGTCGCGTATTAAACTTATAAATTTGTAAGACATATTCTGACGAAAACAATTGCCTAGCACGAAACACCGAATAGACTTGCATAGCAGCAGACTATCAGTTTTCAATATAATCTTTCTACTTCATGTCTATGGAAAACGTTAGACCGAGGAGGCTCAATGAGTCACTGTTGTAGGGGTTAGCATCAGCCATACTGATGGAAGGTAAAAAGATTTTCTGAAACGATTACAAGATCAGTGTAACTCATTATTTACATTATTCGGACTATTGTCCTCAACTTTGTCGCCATATTTATTACAACGTTTCGGCCCTTCAGTATCTGTCTATATTTCTGAGATGAGGTATTATAGACACTATTTGCATTATTCGAACTATTGTTCTAATCTTTGACACGATATATAATACAACGTTTCGGCCTTTCAGTATCTGTCTATATTTCTGAGATGACGTATTATGTACACTATTTATATTATTTGGACTATTGTCCTCATCTTTGTTGCCATATTTATTACAACGTTTCGGCTATTAAACTCACACTCTTTGAGTCCTCTCACTGGATCTAACCAACGCCTTTATCCACTGTGCCATGTGTCCTTGAGGACTAAGGCAGTGGAGAACTTTCAGAGGGAAATTAACAGGAGATAACTGATCACTGACATCCATTAAACATGGTACGTGGAACTAGAACAGCCTACCCCAGTGAGCGAAATAAAGGGTCCAGTTCAACATTCCAACCACCTGAAAAAGGCCTGAGCGTACGACGGCCGAAACGTTGTTATAAATCTGGCGACTAAGGTGGGGAAAATAGTCCGAATAATGTAAATAGTGTACATAATTTACATTATTCGGACGATTGACCTCATCTTTGTCGCCATATTTATTACAACGTTTCGGCCTTTCAGTATCTGTCTATATTTCTGAGATGAGGTATTATGTACACTATTTCCATTATCCGAACTATTGTCTTCATCTTTGTTGCCATATATATTACAACGTTTCGGCCTTTCAGTATCTGTCTATATTTCTGAGATGCGGTATTATGCACATTATTTATATTATTCGGACTATTGTCCTCATCTTATTTGCCATATTTATTTTCCTGAATCCTCTTCATCTCTAAGAAAAATAAAAGAAATAATATAGCAGGACAGAACTGGTCTACCTCAGAAAGTAATGGCAACCTACTGCAGTTAAACAAACCTGCCTCGTCAGTCATGTATCGCCTATGACACATAACTGACTATGTTTATGTATGTATTACTAATTATTTTTCTATAGAAATGCACCGATAATAAACGCGAAGGAAAAGGTAGCTTCCTATAATTTATGACAAATATGCATTATTTTTTACTCTAAATATAAATGATTGTTGTTCCATTCACTTTGATAATTTAAGCGACATTTATGTTCCTTTCACATAAGCCATATCCAAAAGATTTTAGAGAGGAACTGTCACCGTTAAACTTGATATGCAATCAAAATGACACACCGAAGCTAAGATTCTAAAATATCTTCCCGGATTAACGTTTTCTTTTTCATAAAACTTGGTCAAGGATAGCCGTGTTTTGGCATTGTTGTTTTCTAAAGCTCTCCAGGGAGATCATATCAGCACACAATAGCCAAAACAGATATTGATAGATTCGTGGCAAGAAATGCGTTCTTCTTTAAGCCTGTTCTTTCTCGTTTTTCTTTTCTTTTTTTTTGTTTTGTTTTAGAATCAAGAAAGTATTATAGACACGTGTTCAATGACTGGTGAACTGCAGTTGTCAAGCGAAAGAAGGGAGATGATTTTTTTTCCTTTAAAAATACACGTAAAATCAAATCTTAAAATTGAATCAGCGCTCATGTTTCCCGTTGTAACTTAATCTTAATTCTCTATCGCTGAATGTTAATGAATGTTTGTTTTCGAAGAAAAAATACTTTACGCTGGCATCTTAATCGACGGAAATGTTTAAAAGTTAGAAAATTATCTGTCACTTGATTATTATTTTTTTTTTTTTTTTAAAAAGAACTTTTATCAACATTACCCAAAAATAACTTTTACCAACGTTACGTTTTAATTTATTAAAAACGTAACGTTGGTAAAAGTTATTTTTCTTCTTTTTTTTTGTTTTGTTTTTTTCGTATCAACATCGTTGGGTAATTTAATACCGAAGTCTAAATATTTTGAACGCAATTTTATTTTATTTTTTGGAGATAATAATGATTTAGTAATACATGACTTACTAACTGACCCATAGCTGGGAGTACAAATGTGGATTCTTACCTTTCCTAACAGTATTTGCGCGTAAGTAAATATAACGATATAGGGCCTAGGGACCATATTTTGGACCCGTCTCTACAGGATACAAAACAGAAAACATAACGTAGACAAATAATGATAATAACAATAATGATGATAATAATGATAATTGTAGCTATTCTCCGCGTGGTTCTCGTGACTTTTGACCTTAATTAATTAGAGATGCTAACATTTTTATTTTGGTTAAATGAATAACCTGTTCCTTACCACAGATTTGCTTGTCAGCTGTCTGACTTTTACCAGTTGTATATACATCTAATCATTTCGGGCTGGCATATTTCTTATTGCTATTATTTCATTGAAGCAGACGTTAAACTCACAAGGACCTTATCACTTGCTCTATTTTTCTCTTTCTTTCGAGAATATGGCAGAAATTAAAAGTAATTAAAGGTTTAGATAATAAAAACAGGAACTTCTGCCAGTATACCGGTATGGTGGCTAGAACTGAGAAATCTGCATTGTTGTAGATGCCTCGATGAAACAACAGAGAATTTTCGAAAGTCAAAGAGAACGCCAAAAAACATGAAAGAAAAGAATGGACAGTTTTATTGTGTCGCAGGTACAATCTTCATACAGATTGTCCAGAATATTGCCATACTAGGAACATCCCATATACTAACAATGTGCTATCAGTTAAATGGCAATTCTGCTATAGGGCCTAAGGACCATTGTTTAGACCCGACTCTACAGGATACAAAACAGAAAACATAACATAGACAATTAATAATAATAATAATAATAATAATAATAATAGTAATAATAATAATAATTGTGGCTCTTCTACGCTTGGCTCTTGTGGCTTTCTATTTTAATTAATTAGAGATGCTAACATTTTTATTTTGGTTAAATGAATAACCCGTCCCTTACCACAGATTTGCTTGTCAGCTGTCTGACTTTTACCAGTTGTATATACATCTACTCATTTCGGGATGGCATGTTTCTTATTGCTATTATTTCATTGAAGCAGACGTTAAACGCTCAAGGACCTTATCACTTGCTCTGTTTTTCTCTTTCTTTCGAGAATATGAGAGAAATTAGAAGCAATTAAATATTTTCATAATAAAAACAAGGTTTACTGCCAGGATACCGGCATAATGATTAGAACTGAGAAATCTTCATTGTAGAAGATGCATCGAAGAAACAACAGAGAACTGTCGAAAGTCAAAGAGAACGTGAAAAAAAAACAACAACATGGAAACCGATTCAACATTAGTAGCATAACTAAAAGCATAAATAGATGGGAATCTCGAGAGATTCAGGGATCCTCCGGAATATTCAAATAGAAGAGTTGACAAAGCTGCTGAAAATGCAAGCAAACAACAAAAAAAATAAATGTTTGTATTCACTGGATGAGATCGACAGAAAAAAAAGAAAGAAGCTGGAAGCCAGCTCCTCTTCATTGAAGACTCCGGCAGTATCGCTCTAAAGGAATGGTTTATTCCACAAAGAAGAGGAATAGAAATTTAATTATGAAAACCAAATGTTGGAATACAAATTAAAAGAGGCGCTAACAGTGAATTCTTCCAAAATAAGACGCGAAAGAGGAACAAT